TTTTGGTTAGTGGATTACAGCTAGCACTGATTGTGCAGATATTCTTTTAATTGGCTATTATTAAACCGCGTTATATACATCCAATATAGTCTGTGAGGGTATTATGTGCTACCCCTACTATCCACCCATCGCTGCCATAATGTAGAGTTTAGTGTGGGGTGTGAGACTCTAATCAAGCGGATGACACCGCCAAAGCGTACGTAAACCACTAATGTACCCACCGAAAAAGTCTTCAGGCATTCTTACAGACTGTATAGAATATTACAGCGTGGTTCAAAACATTCGATTGGAAAAATGTCTACACACTCACTACCAGCCGTAATACATCGATGAAATAAGGGTGATAACACGATGTCACTTGCTGTGTCACCATTGCGTTTCACCATCCCTGCTGAAGAGTATGGTTTCGAGTGGGCATGTGGCTCTGTGGCAACGAGCGATACCGCCGAGACGCAAGTAAGCCACTAACGTGTCAGCTTGAAAAAAGCATTAATGATTCGCACAAATATGAATATAGTAGAAGCCAATTAATATGCAGTCAAATGCGTACGTATTGAGTTTTATCTCTTTGATTATGTGTTTGCCGGGGTAAATTGCATGTCACTCTGACTCTTTCGGGCTGTGAAGAAGGTGATATTACCGAAACGTTAGGTAGTGTATTATTATTATTGCGCTGAATTATATTGTATACAACAGATACTGTTTGAAAACCATCAATATGCTTATCGATGGAGGATATTGAATGATTCACCCCTTTTCAAATCACGTTACAGTATAAGGACGCACCTATCAAAGAAATGCGAGGATTAACCGTAGACGACTTTCTCTATTGCTTCTGTGGAAATTTGTAAATGTTCCGTTAGAGCGTCGAAGCTTATGATCTTTATCATATAACTGTCAAGGTTTCGATATGCATTGCAAATCTTTTCCCCCTTTCGGTTTCTTCTACCACGGTTGTTGCTTTTTCCTTTCTCTAGATCTTTATCATCGTTTCTCTGCTGCGTTTTGCAGCTTCAGGCATAAGCTGTCTGATTCGTGAGATTTTCACTTCGGCATACCGTTTTGAAGATCTTTTCACATAGATCTTTTATGATGGCTTTTGAGCTCGAGGCTTTCGTGGCGCTAAAGAAGATGGTGATGAGTCGGTCGTATTCTTCATCAATGTTGTTAATGACGATAACTTCCCAAGAGTCGACTAATGAATTTGAATGTATTCCGCTTCATGGCATAAAAGTTGTGGAGTTTCATTATTAAATATGGCCTGTAAGAACGTTTGAGGCCTTATAGAGGCTGTTACGTCATAAGCATGCGCATGTTTTGGAGCTGTCGCCCTCCTCGTTAGTGGCTCACGCCCATACAGAACCCTACTTTATAACGGAGATAGGGAGACGCTGTTTTTAGTGATAGCACATGATAATGTGTTATCACCACTTTTTTCAGTCGACAGATAGCGGCTGGTAGTAAATATATACGGATCCCTTTCATCGAGTGTATCTAAAACCTTGTTATGAACATCCAATATAATTGTAAGGAAAACAACGTCACCTCATCCCTGCTAAAAAGTATTGGTTAGTGTGGGGAGTGTGCCACTAATGAGAAGAGCGACACCTCCGAAACATACGTATGACTTTGGACATAACAAGCTCGCTAAGGCAATGAGAACATTATGGCAGACTATACCGATTATTTGTAGTGGGGTTCTAAAAAACAGTCGGCGAGATGCCTAATATTAAAATTAACAATTAAAAATTTAGCACCTTTATGGTAATGATAACAAACTTTTCCTTACTTTCCTTCGGGCTTAGTAATTAGTCATATCTGCTATCTGTTTGGACTGAGTCGATTTTAGGAAGTTGTTGGAAAAGAAACTTAGTGCTTCGACGTTTTCCTTCTTCTTTAGATCCAGTATCACACAATCGTACGTGATTGTTGTAGTCTTTCGATGCCGTTTTGAGTCAGATCTTCTTCAAAGAATCATCGCTCAAACGAGAATCTCATCCGGCAATACTATTATAGGGGACGGGTTTAAATGATAATGAATGCCCAATGACAATGTTAATTTTTATTACATGAATTCTTTCCTGCAGAAGTCGGTGTAATTGATGGCTTTAGTGGCCTTAGCGGCTTTCTCTTATTTTTTGCAAAAAATGGAGTATTACGCAAAAAAAGGCAATGGTGTGTTCCTTTTACGAATTATAGAGAGACAGCGACAATGTTCAGGCATACTTGAACCCAGTTAATTGTGACCTTTCATAAAGCGGTACTTCCTATTGAAAGACTCTCATGTCCACCTTTAGTGTAGAGATATTGTAAATGTAAGTTGCCAGAGATGATTTGATAAGCCATAACACCTCAGACAGCCTTTCACCCTGTTCTTCCACCTTGACCCATCATTTACAATGTGCAGCTTTTTTTCCTTTTTTTCAGGTGTTCTTCTAGGTCAAATTTTCGCGTTGAGATCTACCATGCGGTACCTACTGAGCTTCAACGCGTCTTTTGCGACAAAATAGTGCATGACTGGAAGATTAAAAAGCACCAATAGTAGATTCTGTCCCTTATACTCTCAACTAAAACATGATCTCTACATTGTATTGTGCAAACCATGCATATTGATAGAGCGCAAAAATTTAAGCAAACGATTGAATAAAAAAGTGATTGCAGTCAATGGTGTTATGAAGGAAATGCGACCATACTGCATCATCGTAGGCAGGACGGTGACCTCTCTATGCACTAAAGATACGGGAAACAATTGTGATATAAGCAAAGGTACAAAAATCGAGACTATTTCTACCAATTACACATCGATTTTAGGAACTGTCATGGTTTGACATACTTTCTTCTATACGCTTTCACAGAGAGGAATTCAGAAAAATTTCGTTCAGACTACAAACTTCATCATGGTCAGCTGGAGCAAGCAAATGTGGCAAGGTATAGTGAACAGAGCGGTTCGATTGTTGGCATCGGATCCGTTTGAATCGCACTTCTTCTCGGCAGTCGCAACCGTCAACTAAAACTGAACTTAACTTTGAAGTTTTGAGAATAAACTTGACATTGTATTATTTTTGTCTATTATGGCCTTCCTCCTTCATCTTTTGGAGTTTCCAGTCGTTACTATCCCTCGTCGTAATTCCCGACTACTGCTATTAAGTCAAAACTATTTTTGACGACATTCGTACTTTAAGTGCCAAATATTATCGCAATTAAATCAGTTTTTCGTAAATATATTTCCACATTCGTTGTAGAAATTTACTAAAATAAAGAAAGTGAGAAACATCAAATCTTTTTGTGATACTCAAAAATGGCTTATGAAGGAGCTTCAAGTGCTTACAAGGAGATTTCCAACTATCCAGAGCATTTTCTAATGCACGTCTCAATAGGCAGAGTCCTCAATGGGATAAAAATAAGATGAGGTGGTAAGTAAGGGCCGCTCAAATCTAAGCAGATATTCTAAAGCCAGTTGAAGCACAATGCATGTGCTCATCGTCACACCGTGTCAATCAAGTAGAAAAGCATTATTCGAATGAAAAACATTCGTCGGCGTTGTCATCTTTAATGGGACGGATGATGGTCATTGCTAGGAAAGACGGACGGTTCATATATGTTGGACGGCGTCAAATGAAAAGCGGATCTTATTCGCTGGACAAGAACTTTTTATAAGGTGTCGCAAATCATTCGAAAATATAAATCTCTGGTCTTCGCGGCATGGGCCGTTTTTTGAAAGCACTCTTTTATTATAGTGTAGAATTCAAAATAAAATTATGTTTTACATCGGCAGCACAAATCCATTGTCACCAAGCTGGAAGCACGAAAAGAATCAACGTGCAGAGAATAGCTTTCAGTATCAAAGTCACCCGTTTTATTTAGAGTCTCTTTCAAAGGGGAGAAAAATTTCCTATCTGATTAATAAAACTCACATTCGATGTACCTAAGAGAATTGAGGGTGAGCAAATGAGCGGCCTCAGACGGAAGTCGAATCCGCGTTTCATCTTATCCGAAAACGCGTGCTCCACTACCAATACATCACCGAGGTACATTTGCCCGGCCACTCATTCTTCAACATCTCTATGTCAAAAATCAGCTACCAACCTTTGGCAGTTATATAAGCAACATCGTAACACTGCGAAAAAACCAGTAAAAATACTAGAGTTCAGGAGTATTGAATCTAAAGTGGCTCTCAGCTCAACTGGGTTTATAATGCCAAATCGCATAGCCGTCCATAACTGTTGAAGGTTGGTGTCTGATAACTAACATAGAGATGGCGAAGAATGAGTGGTCGGGCAAATATGCCCCTGTGGTGTAGCGGTAGAGCACACAAACCGGGATAGGATGAAACGCGGGTTCGATTCCCGCCTGAGACCGTGTTTTTGCTCAATACTCAATTTCTTAGGTTTTCATGGAACATCGTAACACTTTGAAGAAGCGATGAAAATACTAAGATTTCGTAGTATCACACTTTATGTGTGTAGCGCATCGACCCCGTTGGGCGATAGCCGTGTTATTGCGCCGCATTCCATCTTCGCCCCCCACCCAACAGGTTGGCCAAAAAACACATGCTCACGTACGTGAATCAATCTTATTTTTCCTGTTGTACTGCAAAGAGAAAGTTCTTTCCCGAAAATAGGCGCAGACTTGGATTTGTTGACTCCTAAGGAACGAATTCTAGCAGCTGAAATACACGATTGTTCGGAAGCCTTTCGAGCTGCATAAAAGCTTTCGCTCAGATATTCGGCATTCGTTTGAAAGCTTAAGTCTATTTCATTTCAGCGATACGTCTGACTCCTAAAAAGGTTTTGTCATCACGTTGAAACAGCGAAAGTAAAATTATGTTTACACTCAGATTTCTTCATTTGCTCGGCTGCGCTTCGATATGGTTCTTCACTAAAGTTTTATTAGTCATTGATTAGCCAAAATCCCGAAGATCGGTAATGCAAATTATTTTGTTGTAGCTTATCAAAGTACACTTTAAAATCGAAAAGAATATCACATATCACGCCTGAAATGCTAACCCGCCGCTTAGACGTCATAGGCGGTTTATTGGTATTTGTAGGTGAACTTTATGAGTCAGAAGTATCATATCATTATATAAAAAATGGAGTGTCACTAATAAACCTTTCACAGAGATTTTCCTGATATAAAGAGTGATTTTTCTTTCAAAATCGTTCATTTTTCAATGGTAATACCGCGCCCTTTAAAAAAATAAACAAACTTTCAACCGCTATTGTGCATTTGTGTCGCCTGTCTTGCAAGATCGTAGCTTGAAAGCACATCTTTTGCAACTAGACATTTCTAATAGAGGTCTATGTAGAAGTTATGTAACTCGAGTAAGTGTAGGTGTTCATTATTGTGCATAATACGGTACTTCTCCTATCACCACCCATAATCAGAAGAAGTATTTTTTGGTCTTTAGAAGAAGTATTTTTGGTCTTTCCAGACATATGAGTTGTTATTCGATAACTTAAATCTCGAAAAATTGGAAGGTGTACTTTATTTTTTTGAATCCTCTGTATTACACTGTAACAGGAAAAATAATATGTTATTTGACACTTGAGCATCTTTCGATGAGCAAAGCTTCCTCAAAAAATTCAGCAGTTCTTCGATAACACAAATTCCGGCAATAATAGCGCCCCTGGTTTTGTAAAAAACCCCTTAATTTTGCTGCCACTGAAATTAAGATTGCATTTCACATGTGACACATATGCCATCAACCGATATGTGGATGGATATTGCAACACTAGCATTGAATGGTCGCCGTTCAATAACCAATCGACTGCTCAAATCTCGAGATTTTCAAATGTCTATCTGCCTTAGATATATAAGATTCTTCCTGCGAGTTCTAGCAACAAGAAAAAACTTTGCACCTCCAAGTATTTTTCGTTAGACACGGCTTTTCTCTCAGGCCTTCCACACATTGATAATCTTGAAATATGTGCGCAAATCTTGAAATTTTCAAAGATGTGTTTAGTTATATTGAATTTTACACTCGGCGCGCACCTTACGCAACATGTAAACTGAGCTGCGAGATCGATGCGGCGCCGAGTGTGAAACTCAATAATATTTTAGCTGTAATAACACATTGAAAGGTCCTTCTCAAGGATCAAGCTTGTCTTTGAGATTATTGGAATTTGTGCTTTCGAGTGGCTATTGAATGTCTGAATCAAAACTCTGTCCAGCGAAAGATGCCTGAGTGTGAAAGAAAAATTGGTATTTAAATGTTGTGCGGTGACAAAACTTTAAGCCAATCTAGTTTGCTGAACAGAAAATTTTCATTGAACTGTTAGTAATCATTAGAAAGCTTAAATCTTTGGCTACAACTATGCATTGCCAGTCTTTTAGATCATCCGTTTATGTCGTTGTAGCATAAGGAATAAATTTCATTGCGGTATCATGATGTTTTAATAAACCAATGTTGCGGAGTGGTGTGCAAAAACGTTTGCGTTAGCTGGGACTCGAACCCACAGCTCACTCTTTCTGGAAGCGCGTGCTGAACCGTGTTGCACTACTAACGGTTTCGCACACCACTCTTTATACTCTACAACGCTTTATCTGTCAGCAGCCATCTGTCTACGGTCTGGCGTGAAAGTCACTATCGGCATTGGACCCATTTGTGCTGACAGATATTGGGTTTTAATAATCAATCAGAATTCATTTTATTAGACCACGTATTGCGGTGGTATGATTTTACGATAAATCCAATAAAACGAAGATAAGATGCGACCTCGATTTTACTGAAACATTTCTAGTCGGACTTTTTGGCACCCACTCTCCGTAACTGGATCTTGCACTGTAAATTTGTTGAATAAGAACGATCGCTACAGACTACTCATGGGAATGTTCTCAGATAATATGTCTACTCAGAAGAATCAGAGATACCAAAACAAACAGGTGAAATGTCCTTTTGGAAAAGACTTCATTAACTGCTTTTGACAAATCACGGACATGTTTTTGAATGACATAGCAACTGCTATTGGGAGTAACAATCTCCTGATTGGGCAAGAAATTGCTAAAAAATAACGACAAGCACTTTGTGGACGATTAGGTTTTGCTTCTAGGGAAAAGTACGAATTTTTCAACTAGCTACGTGATGAGATCTCTTCATACGTGTACCTTGGTTGCACTGAACATGAAGGACAGCACAAAGGAGGAATTCAACAAAAAATTAAGCAAAAAAGGGGTCGCTTTCTGTGTTCTCAAAAGAGCGACCAGCCAAATAATGGATTCACAATACGTGCTAGCCTTTCGATTAAATAGTGGTCCCAGTGCTCTGTTTGGTAGCAGAGACGTGGGCTGATACCTCGACCACGTCAAGACTACTGTGAACGACTCACAGAGCGCTTGGACGACGTCTTTTGATAATCAGTGGACATTCACAAAACTTAGCCGAATTACGCAGCTCATATTTCCAAAATCTACAACATTTTCGTGACCCAGAAGAACATGTATCAATAGCGAAGCACAGATGGGCCGATCATTTATTAAAAAGATCAGACGGTATGGACAGATGGACGAAATGAACTTTAGAGTAACTCCACGAGAATGCACCCGTTCCTGACGACGACCACCTAGTTGTGCAAACGTCTTACTCACCTGTCGATATTTTTAAGATCATAGTACGAAATTCGCGCCGGTTACATGCTCGGATCAAACCACCACCGTGGACGTCAATCGCGAGAAGAGGCGACTGAAAAATGTGCTGGGGTGTGCACAATTCGTAATGACGGACCGTCAAAGTATTCAAGTAAGTATGGTACTTGTTAGCTAATGGATGACTCACCTCTGTAAGATGCGCTATCACAATGGAGAATGATCAAAATTTATCCAATAGATCAGCACTTCGTGCATTTGAAGAGCCACGCCGAATCAGCGTGGTCTATATCGGTTAATGTTCGAGTACTCGTACGTTGGACTGGGTGAGGCTATATAGATCCACATAGCGAGGGCAGGCGTCTTTGTCGACCACCGATTCATGATTTGTTTGGGCCGGCTCTGAAGTAGGCGAAAGCGGCGACACGTCGTTGGCCGTGTGAGACAATTCTAACGGCTCAGTGTTAGCTTGTAAATCAATGACAATACTTTTAAGTGCTGCTCTTAGCACAGAGGTGCTGTTGCAAAAAAGGACTCAAAATATGAAGAGAAATAAGATTGTATATCAACTGACTAATCTGCTTTACAAAACCGGCTTCCTGTGCTGCTTTGATTCTGGTGCACACATACAAGCAACAATTTTCTTCGTATTTCTCTGATGAATTCTTCACAGCATTGCTCCCAACTATTTTGATTTTTTCCTCTTGAAATGCCGCGAATTTTCCCTGTTTCTGGAAGAGAAATTATGAAGCCGTAATAGAGAAGAATAGACCAGCTTGGGTTATTTGAAGAGGCTATCGATTGACTGCATGGGCTGAAACTTTGCGTTCAATTTTCGGATAACCAAAGAATCTCATAAACTGCTACGAAGTAGAGTCGCATTCTTGATCCGATCCTTAACCTATAATGTGCTGTCTAGTCGCAGCATTGCATCGAAATTAGTCTTTATCTAGTAGCCCACAATCAGTAAAACTTTGAAGAAGTGGTCCTTTTTGGAATAATAGTTCTATTTTTCCTTTTATTTCTTTTCCACACCAAATCGATCCTCGTTAGTCTTGTTCAAAATAGTTCTTTTAATGCGTGTTGTACGACATACTCAAAAAGTCATTCAATTCATTTTTTCGCTAGATAAGTTTAGCATTAGAACATGATAACATATTTGAATCTTTCGTGAGGTCTCATATTTTACTTATACAGTGCCAGACACGTGGTTTCGCCTTACGCCTCATAAGTAGCACGGTGCTCTCCGATTCCGGTTTCCCTTGCAAGGCTACATACCTCTACATATAACGAAATCAATCGGAATTCAATCATTGGAGCGCCTCTTGCGTGTGGCAGATCTTATAATATACCCAATAATGTAGAGTGCTATTTAAAAACACTTCATTCGAACCCAGATCTCACTGTTTCGGTGGACGCGTACTGAACCGTTGCACTACCGCTACAATGGAATCGACGGGGAAAATGTATTATTCAGTTCTAAGTCATGAGCGGTCGACTGTTGGCTACGGTGTTGAGTGATGTTATCACTGGACATTAAGGGATTTGTTATCGCTGCAGTGTGAAATGATTTTTTTCATCCTACACGTGCAGTGTAACATCATCGTCATCGATTCCCTTATATGTAGGGGTAGAACCCCTAACAAGGAATTGGCTGAAGCAAAAGGCACCGTGCTACTGATGAGGCTGCAAGGCCGAAATGGCTGCTAGTACTTTATAAGTGCGATATCAGACCTCATGAGTGGCTCAAAATATGCTGTCCGATTATGTTGTTTAGAGCGAGGCTTTGGAAAAACATTCGAGTTTAGACGTATTTAGCATCAAACTCAATGGAGTTGCAAATCAATACTGGCTCAGCAAACAATTCTTGTCTAGAGACTGCCTCACAAAAACTTAGTACAATGACGCAGAAGTTTTGCACATCCCTTTACATCACTGGGTATATACATATAACATTACACCACCGTCAAAAGCGGTGAAATCGAATGAATTCTATTTGATCATCCATTCACCAATATCTGTCAGCGTGACTGGGTTAAATGCCGATATCGACTACATGGCCCAAACCGTTGACGGTTTGTTGTTGTCAGATAGATACTTTGTAGCGTGGAAGAAGTGGTGGTAGATTAGGTGTCAATAGTGCAGCGGGTTAAAACACGCGCTCCCGGACAGAGTGAGATGTGAGTTCGGATCCTATCTGACGCAAAATATTTATACATCACACTACATCACTGGTTTTGTTTACAACCACCAAAAGCGATCAAATAAAAAGAATTCTATTCAGCACAATGTTGTTTCTTCGCCACAAACTTCTTCATTTGAGAGAGCACGTTATGCTGGCTTCGCAGAAGGGCACGGAGCAATTGTAGTTTTATGTTCGGTGCTCAGTGGCTCTCCTCTAGTGTACGGCAAATTTCGTGTGGCCGTTTGTTGATAAATTCCAAGATATCTTGGTGCTTTTGCAGTTGCGAAGGGAGTGAATTTAGCCAAGCTATTTAGAATTTAGCCATGCTATTTTGAGGTGAGAGGTGCATTAGCAATCCATGCGATCGTTGTTCAACTAGTTTTCATTTGAACAACCAGTGGAAGACTTATAAAAAGCGGTAAGTATGTCGAACAGTGTTATGCTCCTGATGCTATCGAAAATCCTGATTTGGTGACTTCTTCTAATGAACTAATAGAAATGTTTGGTTGAGGTTGTGGGCAGCGCGTTCTTTCCAGGACGGACGTCAGACTATTACCACTCATTACCTATCTCTGTTTTTGAATTTTTTGAAATTTTATTTGGCTCCTAATCTGGGAAAAAACAGAAATTCTGATAACTCGCAACTGAGATATTTTGCTGTAGTTCTGCACAACCCTTGCATGACTCACTCTGAGTGGAAGTAACAGCGATCTAAGTATTTTGGGTGAAAGTCCGTCTGCGTTTAAACATTTGATTGCTTTGAGTTCATCACCTTCTGGCTTGCCTGAAGGCGCCCTCCGCCTACGTCAAACGCTGATTTTCTGAATATGATCATTTTTTTGAGTTTCGCCGTTATTACTCGAACGAAACAATTGAAGTTGCCTCTTATTCGGATTTGCTTACCGCTCTGTTTCTGTCTTTGCTATTTGAATTTTGAAAGAATTTTGTTTATTTCCTAATCACTAGAAGGCTGTTTAGCAGTGTATTGGTCTAAATCAAACAAAACTTCGAGGTTTTTGATCTCTCGAAAAAGTTTTAGGCACCTTTTCCTTGTGTGCACCCATTTTTTACTCCCTTGTTAAAAAACGTAGCTTTAGTTCTCTTTGACGTTGTAATAAACGTTTAAGCTATAAGAATAATGAGCTTAGATCTTGGAATTTGAATGCCATGCAATTTACAATTCAATTTACTGCAGTGAAACAGTAAGATAAATTGATTTTCACACTCAAGCATTTTTTCCTGGATAAAGCTTACCTTTCAAACTCTTTAGTTTCTGTTTCGGGTGTTTTCTTAAGACCACTGCTCAAATTTCAGTATGCCTCATAATCATTATTTGAGCCACGCATGTCAGTGGTCTGTCAATGAGAGCTGACTTATAGAGCCCGATACACGTGTTACGATCTTGCGATCTCGTCAGTCGGGCCTTTCTCGTCATTTGCTAATCTCTGTGGGAGCTGTTGGGAAGTGTCTCAACCACTGGCATGCGTGGCTCAAATAATGATTACCAGGCATCTTTAGAACCTTTTGATAGCACAAATTTCAACGATTTCAAAGATAGGTTTGATTATCAGAGAGCTTCTCAATGTGGTATTACTGTCAGAAAAAATATCAAGTTTAGCATTTAGCGCGCATTTCTTCTCTCCTAGGGTATAGGGTTGCTTCGTATCGATCACGCAGCACAGTCCCACACGCCGCGTCCAAAAGGCAATCTTGATCTCACTCTTGCAATGCAGTAAGAGG